GAAGGGAAAAAGCTGAAGCAAAGGCACAAAAACTAGATATGGATATAAACAAAGAGATGGACTCATTCCCAAAGTCAGGAATCCAATAAAAACAGAAAAATAGAAGAGATAATATATACATGAAGAATTTATTAGATTAAAAGATATATAAAAATTAAATTAAATAAAGGAAAAGTCCTAGCATGACATTATAGGACGAGAACCTCTAAAGATTCATTGGGTCCACTTTCTGGTCATTTTGGCTATTTAATGCTGGCATGTAGCCTACCTTGAAGAGTAGTTTGTTTCCCAGTGGGACTCACTTGGAGGAAACTAAATTTTCACATGCCAGTGACTATCAGTTTAGAGATTTTATTTGGGCTATGTATAGTGGCATGTATCCCTTTTTCCTTTCAGGTCAAGGACATCATATAGTGCAGATCCATACAGGCACTATGCGTGCTACCTCGGGCTCTGTGATTTCATGTATGTGTTGATCCTACTGATTTAGAGAGTCTTGTTTTCGTGGTGTCCTTCATCCCCTTGACTGTTACACTCTTTTTGCCTCATTCTTCAGATTCCATAACTGGAAGCATGGATGATGAGAACACACTGGTTAGGACTGAGTGTTCCAAAGTCCTTCACTCTGAAGAATATTTGGCTATGTGTCTCTGTACTTGTTACAATCTGATGCAAGAGGAAACTTCTCAGGCGATGACTGAGCAAGTGTCTGACCTGTGAGAATAGAAGAATGTCATTAGGAGTCATTTTATTGCTGTGGGTTTTTTGTTTGTTTGTTTGTATTGGAACAAGTGGTTCTAGGTCCCTGGGCTATCTTAGTATTAGATTCTTGATTACTCAATCAGCATCTGGCATAGATCCCATCTCATGGAGAGGGTTTTAAATCAAATCAGATATTGGTTAGTTACTCACACAAGCCAGAAAACACTGTATGTGGTTTGGAGCTCGAGTGATGTTTATGTTTCCCCTTTATTAGTATGCAGGGTACCTTCCTGTACCAAAGACACAGTCCATAAGGGTGAAAGGTCTATTTTGGCACCAGTTAATCTTCTCTATGCTCAAAGCTAAAAGTGTTGGGTTCAGCAAAGATGCCCTGTTGTCATTTTATTCAAAGCAACATGCTGTCTTGGCAACAGTCTAGGTTGTTTGGATATATACATGGAACGCCTTTGGCCAACAACTCAATTAGTAGTAACCCAACCCAGGTACTGGAAGATTCATTTGGTGGCAAAAGATGCCCAGTTAAGGCTCTCCCCCCCCCCACTATTATTTTAGAGATTTCATTTAGGTCATTTTCATACATGTATATATTTTAAGAAACTTACTGGGTCTTCACACTACCCTTCAAATGGCTTTGAATTTTAGATGTCTCTGTCCGAATTGCATCTCTCATCCATTTCTTCCTTGTTCCTCATCACCTGATCCTCCCATTACATTCTTCCCATATATCTATAACTATCTATTCTATTTCCCTTTTCCAGGAACATCTATCTGTGCCCCTCCAGCCCCTTATTCTGTATGTAATCTTTGTGTTTCTATCATCTGTAGATAATATTCACCTACCACATTTGTCTTTCTGTATCTGGGTTATCTCATTTAGGATGATTTTTTCTGGTTCCATTTACTTACCTGTAAATTTATAATATCAGTTTTATATTATAAAACTGAGACTGAGACTTAGAAGACTGAGACTATTCACACAATCTGTTATTATATAAATGCACCATCTCTTTTTTATTAATTCATCTGCTGAGAGATATCTAAGTTGTTTCCAATTTCTGGCTATTAGGAATAAAGCAACAATGAAAAAGGTTCAGCAAGTGTCTCTGTTGTGCTATGAAATGTCCTTTAGGTATATGCGCCAGAGTGGTGTTGCTGGATGTTGAAATAGATTGATTCCCCATTTCCTGAAGAGCTGTCTTACTGATTGCCACAGTATGACTATACAAGTTTGTACCCCCACCAACAATGCATGAGTGTTCCCCTTACTGCACATCTTTGACAGCAGGAATTGTCATTTGTTTTATTAATCTTAGCCATTATGAAGGTGTAAAATGTTGTCTCAAAGTAGTTTTGATTTGTATTTCCCTGATAAATACTTCCTTACAAGTTTCTCAGTCATTTGAGTTTTCTTTTTTGAAGATTCTGTTTAGAGCTGTATGCACTGCTCAAATTTGGTTACTAATTTTCTTGGTAACTAATATCATTGATATATATCCATCCTCTATTAAATGTGTAGTTGATTAACATCTTTTCCCATTCTATAGGCTTCTTCTTTGTCTAAATAATAATGTCTTTTGCAATGCAGAAACTTTTCAGTTTTATGAGAATCCATTTACTAATTTTTGATCTTAATGTCTGTGCTAAATGTGTTCTGTTCAAAATGTATTTTCCTGGGCCATTGAGTTCAAGGTTATTGCCAACTTTATCTTCTTTCAGGTTCAGTTGATCTGGTTTCATTATCATGTTCTTTTTTTTATACACTTGGTATAGAGTTTGTATAGGGTGATAAATATGGATCTGTTTGGATTCTTCTCCAAGTAGTGATCAAGTTTGTTAAAGAGGCATTTTGTTTTGTTATGTTTTAAAAGATCCAATGTGTTTTTCTGAGTGCCTTATCAAAAATCAGGTGTCCATAGGTATACAGTTTAACGTTTGGGTCTTTGATTTTATTTCATTTATTAACATTTCTGTTTTTGTGTCAATATCATGTTATTTTTATTATTGTAGCTCTGTAGTTAGACTTGGAATCTGTGACAGTGACACTTCTAGCAGTTCTTATGTGTTCAGGATAGCTTAATATTGTTGTTATTTGTGTTGTTCGGTTTGGTTTTATTTTTCATATGAAGGTGACAATGTCCTTTCCAGAACTGTAAAAGAATTTTTCCAGAATTTTGCTGGGGATTACATTGAGTCTATAGATTGTTATTTGTAGTGTGGCTATTTGTACTGTATTAACCCTATCACTCCATGAGCATGGGAGATCTTTCCTTCTTCTGATATCTCCTTTGATTTATTTCTTCAGTGTCTTAAAGTTTTTAGTATGAATGTTTCTTATTTGTTTGGTTAGAGTTACCTCAAGACCTTTTATGTTTTTGAGGCTATTGTGAAACATGTTGTTTCTCTGATTTCTTTCTCAGTCACTTTGTCATTTGTATATAGGAAACCTGGTAAATTTTGTGAATTAATTCTGAATCCAATTCCTTTGTTTAAACTATTGACCAGCTTCAAGAATTTCCAGGTGAAATCTTTAGGGTTACTTATGAATACAATAAATTCATCTGAAAATAAATATACTTTCTCCATTGGCACCCGTGACACCCCTGACCAGCTGATAGAGGCTACTACTCTCATTGTAACATCCTTGCTTCTAACTGAAACAGAGAAAGTAAAATTAACTCCTGGAAAAGCCTCCACGTATGAGAGAAATAACAGTAGTAGCTGCTTTCTGGTATATTTAACAACACTTGAGACACCCACAAAATTGATTACAGTAATAGATACCAAGTGATGAACAGCTAGCAGTCAAGGTCCATAACAAACAAAGATGAAGTTAGGGATAAACAAGAGATGTGTTTTAATCACCCTAGTAAGGATAGAAGCCCATTAAGAGTATATGATCCTGTCACTCACTGGGCCAGAGAAATATGTACAGTGTGTGTAAGGACTTCATTGGCTCATTCCATGATGCTCAAGAATTAAAGTTTACTTCAACCCATGTCCAGTTTCTGCTATGGTGCTACAGAAACACCTGGACAAAGATTTATTTTCTTTATTTTATTTTTGTTTTGGGGTTTGTTTTGTTTATTCTTTGCCTATTTCTTGTCTGAGTATGCTCCATATCTCAGGAGTTTCTCTCAATTTTTCCCTAATTTCTCAATTTTTCCCATTTTTGTAAGTCTTCTAAATAAATCCTGTTTCTGCTTTGATACTCCTATGAGTGTGTGTGTGTGTGTGTGTGTGTGCTTCTCTCTGTATGTGTTTCTCTCTCTCTCTGTGTGTGTGTGTGTGTGTGTGTGTGTGTGTATGTATGTATGTTTAATCCTCATAAGCATAAGCAAGGAACCCAGAATCACGACCCCAGGTCATCTAATGTGTTATACCCTAGAACCCTGCTTCAAGCATGGTTGGCCATATAACAACCCCATAGCTCTAAAAACCCTGAAGGACAAATATACAGAGATTCTGAAGGAGGTAGGGAAGTAGTTAATTTGCACAGCATCAGGATACAGACATAATTGTTATATGAAATGAGTAATATCTTCCCTACAATGGCTACTTACTTGTGTTAGACATCAATACAATGAGTAAAGCTGTAGCTGGTTACCAGCATCCTAACTAGGTTTGGCAGTGAACTCCTATAATCTCAGCACTGGGGAAGTTGTAGGCAGAAAAATCAGAAGCTCAAAGGCATCTCAGATTATCTTGAAAGCTCAATATTGTACTGGCCCATTATAAGTTCCTCTTCCACAACTTTTACAGACAGTGCTACCAGACAGGTGTCAAATATCGAGCTCAAACAACAACACTTGGCTCATCCATAATTTGGCTATTGTGAATAGTAGCACAATAAACATGGGTTAGAAGATGTCAAAAAAAATTAAAAGGAGAAAAAGATATCTTTCTAAAGGAAGACACTGAGGACTTTGGAAAGATCAGCTATGGTGTTCTTTTATATGGTAACAAACTTTAGTGGGTAGATAACTTGCCAACTGCAAGATGATAAAGCCTATGACAAGTTCTCACTTTAGTTTCCTAAGGCATTAATTTTATTTTAGAGTAATTCTCCTCAAAAACTATGAGAGCTCAGAGATAAAACTGATACATATGCATGTATTGATAATTTGGTCAAGATAATACCCTTGGAAGTCATAGTGCTAGAATGACTTTTGTTTTTGCTGTTAATAGTTTTGATTCATGATGTCATGCTGGTTTCCAGGCTACCTTAGAATTCACAGAATTTTATGCCTCAGCCTTGAAGTGTTAGAATTATTGAAATACTTCATGAAGCTCATCTCAGGTACGTAAAATCTTACTACAACATTAAAATCTCTGTAGACATCTATCTTACATTACTCATGTTAGAGTCTAATAAGAAAGTTATGCCAAAGGACACAGCCCTGGAGAACATGGAGAGGGTCTAACTCATTTTCACTTGTCTTTCAGTGAGCATCAAGAATCAGTTTGCTAGAATGCTTTATGTTGTCTAGGTAACATTCATGACTTTCCCATAATCTTATCTCCCTCATCATCTGTAACTGACTCCAGTATTCACAATTCAGATTAAAGTCAGTTCCAAGTCTTTACTCTCTAAAACACAACAGAATATTTTGGTCCAATGTACTTCTCAAGATCCTTAAGAAGACACTTTATGTCTTACCAGTTGTGTTATACTTGTATTTAAATTAATTGACTTTGTAGAAAAAATAGGCAAAAATATTATTCCTTCTTCACACTTATATCCTTCAGTTTCATACATTACTGCTGTCATACTTTAGGGTGGGACATTAGCTAAACATGATAATCTCACATAAATAATTATTAAGTAAGATTTTAAAATTTACATTAGGATTTATATCTGGTGTTTTTTATCATTCTGTATGTGTCAACAAATACTGGACAGTATAAATGCAGATATCTTGCATGCTTTTCTACATATTAGTTAAATAAATTGGGAAATTTTCTGACTGGAAGATATTGCATATAATAGATATTAATTCTTCTTTAATATTCTGCTCTAGAATTTTCTGATAAAGCCAACTGGAAATTGATTTTAGGAGACCTAAAAATTACAATTTAAATTTCTGTCTGTCCTAGAAATATTCTCCTAAATATATTGGCCCCACATTGGGTGCCAACTGTTGCAAGGGGGCGGCTACTTGTTCATCCTGGCTGCCCAGAACCAAAATAACCTCACAGAATATATAGTAATGAAATCACTGCTTGGCCCATTAGCTCTAACTTCTTATTGGCTAACACTTATGTATTAATTTAACCCATTTCCATTAATCTGTATATCACCACGAGGTTGTGGCCTAATATCAAAGGTTCAGCATGTCTATCTCTGGCATCAGATATATGGTGTCTCTCTGACTCCACCTTTCTTTTCCCCAGCATTCAGTCCAGTGCTTTCTGCCAAGCTCTGCTTCACCCTGCCCTGCTCTGCTATAGGCTCAAAGCAGTTCTTTATTAATTAACGGTAATCACCTCATGCAAAGGGCAATCTCACATCATGGAGTACCTATTTATTTTCCCTTTCCCTTTTGATATTCTCCACCTACACTTACTGGCAGTATTTTTCTCCAGTTTTCCCTTTTCATAATGTCAAATAGTCATAATCAAATGTCATGAAACCTTGAAGACTAGCTTCCTTAACTTAGCAGTATTTAAGTTTCCTCTATTTCTACTCATACTGTCAAAGCTCATTAGTTTGTGAATGAATCAGATACACAGAATTAAAAAATACTTAATTGTATGGGTACACTAAGGGTTTTTTATTGGTTCAGCTGCTAAAGCATATGAAGAATAGTTTGGAGCAGATGGTGTGGCCTTCACTGCACAAGTCTGTTGCACCCACTGGGAAAGAACTTATTCCTGAAAATTGTCTTCTGATCTCCACATCATGTGTACAGAGACAAGCATGCACCAGCACACACATGCACACACAAAACAAACACAAAAATTATTTAAGCTGCATATAGTTGAGTCAATCAAAAATCGTAATTTGTGCCCACAAAATGACTCAGCAGTCAAAAATTTATACTTTTCTTGAAGAGGAAATTGACTTTATCTCCCAAGATCCACATAGATTACCTGATAAACCCTGACCTCTACATATAAGAACCCACAGGTATCTGTATATACATATATACATATTTGCACATACACACACTTAAACAGAAATAAAATAAATCTCTGAAATATATAATTTGGTCTCATCTAAAACATCAGCTTAGATAAATCTCCACCCAAGACAGGTAGAACTAAAGAACATAGCTTTCATTCAAAATTAACAGAAGACTAACAGCAGAATCATGTGTTTTTCCTGAATCAGGGGGAGAGCAGCTGCTGCAGTTAGTAAAAACTGCTAGATATTTAGAGATGAGAACAAGTTCATGATCACCTGTGAGCTGGGTGATTTAATGTCTGCTGATATCAGTTAGATCCATTTTTAAGAGGGAGCCTCACTTGAAGCCATAAGTCCATGGGAAAGCTTATGGTTCATTTTCTCTACTGATAATTCATGTGGCAGGGACTAGCTCCATGTGGGTGGTGCCACCCTTCAAGCAGTGGGCCAACAATCATGACAAGCAAGCCAGTAAGCAGCCTCCTTCGGGGTCTCTGCATCAGTTTCTACCCCCAGGATCCTGCCCCAATATCCCTGGAAACAAATTTTTCCTACCCAAAATGATTTAGGTGTTGGTGGTATATCATAGTGGTAAAAACACAAATTAATACATCTGACAAAGCAAGAAGACATGTGGATACTATTTGGATTTGTAAAATTTTAGCTAAGTTTAAAAAATTCTTAAATATTGTCTATAACTAGTTAAAAAATATGCATACAAGACCTCAGGGCCATGAACAGAAGGTACTTCAATCACAAGAACAAATTCCTCTTTACAAAAAGGCTGGAGATACTGGCTTCAGTGTTTCACTCCTAACAAAACAATGACATTAAGGCGAAATGTATATTTAAATCCAATTTCCCTGTGCTGATCCAGTAAAAATGACATTTCAACCAATCTGTGAATTACGTGAGTATGTGGATTCATTCTGTGAATATAGAACTTTATTTATAAGTACCCCACACTGACACATCTTCAGCAATATCAGTTCATGAATGGATAGAACACAGGTGACAACAATATCATATTCTCATAACGGAAAGTATCAAATCACTGATACCTTCCACAGGGTGAAATGTGGACTAAGCTGGAAGCCATTCTAAGCAGGTTCTATAAGGAACAAAGGCTATGTATTAAATCCTCTCACATATTATTTTCTAAATAAAATAAAATCATAAAAATGAAGAGGAGATAATTGTTTCCCAAAGATTTGACATGGCTAGTTTTATAATATTGAGGCAAATGAATGAGTTTCTAAAATGATAAAACCAGTGTATATTTTAATAGTAGATTGCTTTTGAGACATTCTCTTCTACCCACAAAATTAGACTCAAACTGGTTCTGTGTCCAAGGCTGATTTTAATTTTGATCCTCCTGACTCCACGTTTCAAATGCCAAGATTATGGGTATGCTAACAGGTTAGCATTTTGTGCTTAGTTTTGCACAAATGTCTGTCAAAACCATAAAAATAAGAAGAAAATCTCAGATGGCTGAGTTTTCTCAAGCTTAAAAACACCTAAGATGGCAAAGCCATGGAGGCACATGCCTTTAATGTCTACAATCAGGAAGCAGAGGCAAGAGAGTCTCTGTGAGTTCAAAGGAAGACTGGTCTACACAGCCAGTTCTAGGACAGCCAGTGCTACACAGAGATACCATGTCTAGAAAAACGCAACAAACAAAAATAAATTAACAGTTTTTATTGGCTTGAGATATGTGAGTTCTGTGATGTGGGATTTCCATCCATATGCTGTGACTATGTTTTGTTGCCATTGGTTAGTAAAGATGCTGGTTTGGCCTATGACAGGGCTGAATGGAGCTAGGTGGGAGGATTAAGCTGAATGAGAGGATTGGGAAGATAGACTCACGCAGATGCCATGTAGCTGCTGAAGGAGAAACATGCTTGAAATTTAAAGGTGAGCCACAGCCATGTAGTGATACATAGATTAATAGAAATTGGTTAATTTAAGATATAAGAGCTAGCTAGAAATATGACCAACAATGTTGCAATTAACATAGTTTCTGTGTGGTTATTCAGTCTGGACAGCCAGGAAATGAAGATGTAGTCTCTATTTACAGTTCTGCAAATCAGTTTTAGTTTGTGAGGTCAACTAAGTCTGAAAGTTACAATTCTTATTGTAACTTTGGTGTTCCTTCTTGAAAATTGAGGTGTAGATGGTTCAATTCAATGCAGTAAACATAGATTGGGTGAGAATGTAGTTTTGGACTACATGTTTAATTTTCAGAAATTCTAAAATCATTAAAAGCAAAATATAAAATATTCTAAATATAACAGTTAAAATTCCTCATAACTAAAGAAAAAGGTCTATGCTAATTATTATTCAACCCATTAATTTTTAGGAGAAAATAACTTTAAAATGCAGAAGTATCTTATGATCATGTCTTTTAAAGATACTTTTCATTGAAAAAAATATATGACATTCAAGCTCAAAGGACTGTGCATGCACATATGGCGTGTTCGTGACTAGTTTGCATTTTTATTAACTGGGTTGACATCAACTGTATCTGTGCTATGAGATTAAATTTTTTATGAATTACAAATCCCACAAGTGCTCCTGATCCCTTAAGTATTAAGTACACATATTGTCTATAATTTCCACTTGATAATTTCATAAAGGTAACACAAATGAGGAAAAATAAATATTACAATAATGAGTAGTGCATGTTGTTGCCTTTTGTATGCCTCAAGGAAGCAGAGTGCACCTGAAATCACAGATTTCATGAAAGGAGCAATTGCTTTTCACCTCAGTGACTAACTAACTTGGCAGACTCTTCTAGAAACATTTGGTGAAACCAACAGCTTGTCAATTGCCTTGAGGGCTGTCATATGCCTTGGTAGTTGTTGAATTAATGGCCCCCTCAGTTCTTCTGACCTCAAATACTTTCTGGGGATGATAATGCTAAATAAGTACATGGATGAAGATAAAATGAAATCAAAGTCACTTCAGATTTCAGTTATCTCATGTAATTAATTGCCATCTTCTATGTAATATGATCAGCAAGTCACAGAGTCGAGTAACTGAAAATGAACAGTTCATCATGCTGTTTAACTTAATCAGAAGATTTCTTCTGCTTGCTCATTTATTGAGCCCTCTATACAGAAGGGAGGCACATAATGGGCCCAGAGCTTACATGAAGAACAAGCCACCGAATA